GCAGGGCACGGTGCATCGCAGGGCACGGTGCATCGCATGGCATGGTGCATTGCAGGGCACGGTGCATGGCAGGGCACAGTGCATGGCAGGGCACAGTGCATGGCACGGCACGGTGCATCGCATGGCACGGTGCATCGCATGGCACGGTGCATTGCAGGGCACGGTGCATCGCATGGCATGGTGCATTGCAGGGCACCGTGCATCGCATGGCACGGTGCATCGCATGGCACGGTGCATTGCAGGGCACAGTGCATTGCATGGCATGGTGCATCGCATGGCACGGTGCATTGCAGGGCACGGTGCATCGCATGGCACAGTGCCGCGGGGAGCTCACCGCTTGCAGAAGAGGCAGGCTGCAGGCCAGGAGAAGAGGGGGAACTTGGCCCGGCAGCAGCAGCAGACCTGCAGAGACAGCGCCCATGAGGGGCGGCAGGGCCCCGTGCCCGGCTCGGCCCCCGCGCCCACTCCCACCTTGCCCTTCCTCAGGCTGTTGTAGAGCTCCTTGCTCTGCAGGAACTTCTCCATCTCGGCCTTGACCAGCACCCGGCGCACGTTGATCATCTCCTCCACGGTGAGCGCCAGGCTCTCGGCRGGGTGGCTGAACTCCTGCGCACAGCGGGGACATGAGCCTGGCCCCACCRCTCTGCCCTCATGCACGTCCCCAGGGTGCACACAGGTGGGTGTCCCCATGAAATGGGTGCCCAGAGCAGCCCCAGCACATGCATGGGCAGAATATCCCTGGGACACGTGTGGTTAGAGCATCCCTGGGGCACATGAGGGCAGAGCACCCCAGGACATGCGTGGTTGGAGCATCCCCAGAACACAGGAACGAGCTGCCAAGAGAGGCTGTGGAGTCTCCTTCTCTGGAGATCCTCCAAACCCGCCTGGCTGCAGCCTGTGCCCCGTGCTCTGGGTGACCCTGTGTGTGCAGGGGGTTGGACTGGATGATCTCTAGAGGTCCCTTCCCACCTTAAGGATCCTGTGATTCTATGAAGGATTCTATGATTCTATAACATGTGTGGACAGAGCTCCCCAGGACACGCATGGTTAGAGCATCCCCAGGACATTCATGGTTAGGGCACCCCAGGACACGCGTGGTTAGGGCATCCCCAGGACATTCATGGTTAGGGCACCCCAGGACACGTGTGGTTAGGGCACCCGGGCCATGCCCTGCGCGGTGTCCGCGTCCTGCCGCCGTGTGACACCCACCAGCCAGGGCAGCTTGGCGGGCGCTGCTCCGGGGCCGTCCTCCGGCCTCTCCTCCAGGCAGCCGAGGGCCGCGCGGGGCGGCGGCGGCGGCGCGGCGCCGTACGGCACGGGGTGGTAGCTGGCGGGCACCGACCCTGCGGGACGGACACGGCGCCGAGTGTGACCCTGTGCGGACGTGAGGACAAGGGCACGGCCCAGGACTGGAGCACAGGGAAGGTAGTGGCAGGGCAGGTGGACACAGAGCAATGGATGGGGCTGGTGGGGGCACGGCTTGGTGTGGGGCTCAGGGCACCACGTCCCAGCTGGGGGCTTCATGTCCCAGGTCCCAACTTGGTATCACTTCCCAGCGACGACAGCATTACATCCCCCGTCCCACCTCTTGGCATCACATCCCAGATCCCAAATAGAGGCATCATGTCCCAGATCCCAGCTTGGAGCACCCTGTCCCAGGTCCCTCCCCACAGCACCATGTCCCTTCACGTGCCAGGCCCGCCGGCCCAGCTGGGCTCAGCTCGGGTCGGGCCAGGGGCTGCCAGCGAGCCGGGGCTGTAGCGGGTCTGTGCCAGCTGCCGGTGCCGTGCCGGGTACCTGAGCGGGGCCGGGGCTCGGGCTCCACGGGCGCCGGGGCCGCCTCCTGCCCGCCGAGCTCGCTCTGCAGCTGGGCCAGGTCCCGCTCGGAGAAGGAGCGGTCGCGCTTGAGGGGCAGCGCCGAGCTGGGCTCGCTGCAAGGGGAGTCCTCCTCCTGCAAGRGCGGCGCACGCGGCGTCACCGTCACCGTGGGCACGGGCACCAGCCCGCCCGCCTCCCCCCGGCCGCTGCGCTCGCCTCGGACACGTTCATCTCCTCCATCTCGGCCAGCGTGGGCGCCTTGAGCAGCACGCGGGGCCGGGGCCGCGGCGCGCCGGCCTCGGGCGCGCTCAGGTCCATGCAGGAGCTGGAGGTGGCGGTGCCGGCGCAGGCGTGCGGGATGCAGGGCAGCGAGCGGTAGCCTGTGGGCGCGGGGGAGCTCAGCGGCGCAGGGCGCGCGGCGGCCGCCGTGGGCACCGCCGTGGGCACCGCCCCGGGCTCCGCTACCTTTGCGGGGCGACACGGGCCGCAGCTTCCTCTCCTGCTTGATCTCCTCCAGGATCTCCTCGTGCAGCGTCCTCTGCTTCTGCGGCAGCGGCCGCAGCCGCCGCTCCGACGCCTGTGGGACGCGGCGCCGTGACGCCCGCAGCGGGACGCGGTGGCACTGCCCCCGTCCCGGTGCCTCACCTGCTTCAGCGGCGGCCGCGAGCGGATGAAGTCCAGGATAAGCTCGTGCGCGTCCTTCTTCACCCGCGGCGGGATGTCGCCGTCCACCTGCGAGCCACGCGCACACGGAGGGCGCTTAGCGCGTGCGGGGCCGGGGCGGCGTGGGGCGCGCGCCCGCCGCGCTCACCATGACCTTGCGGAGCTTGTAGTTGCGCGCCCGGATGTCCTGCATGAGCATCTCGAAGGGCGTCAGCTGGTACTCGGTGGGCAGCGGGTTGAACTGCTTCTCCTGCACCTTCTTCAGCTTCACGCCGTGCCGCAGCTCCCGCATGAGCTGCACCCAGAGCCGGGCCTGGCCGAGGGGCCGCGTGAGCCGCGCGCAGCCCCGGSGCGCCGCAGCGCCCGCTCCCCACCGCTCCGTACCCAGTCCGCGTTGCGCAGGCTGCCCAGCTCTGCCGCCGGCCGCTCCGATGCCTCCTCATCCTCCTTCAGCTTCTGCAGCATCTGCGGGCACGGGATGTGCTGGCATCGGGTGCCACCCACCGCATATCCCAGGCTATCCCGGCGGCCCCAGCGGGACACCATGCATGGGCCGCCCGCGCTCACCTCCTTGGCATCGCGGATCTTGGCCAGGAAGGCTTTGAGCTCCACGGTCTCGGCAAAGAGGGCCCGGCACACGGCCTGGTAGTGCGCAGCGGCGCCTGCGGGGTCGGCCAGGCGCGCGGCGCAGCACCGCATGGCCTGGCCGAAGGTGCGCACGGCCCGCGGCGGCCCCTCGCCGCCCTCCTCCTCCTCGTCCTGCCCGCCGTAGCCCTCGTCGGCCGTGCCGCAGCCGCTGTCCTCCGAGTCGCTGTTGGTCATCAGGTCAATGAGCTGCTCCAGCTGCGGGCTCAGCTCGCGCTCCTCGTTCTCGTCCAGGCCCCAGTCCAGGGCTCGGTAGATGGCGAAGCCCAGGGACTGCACCATCTGCAAGGGGACGCTCCGGCTGCACCGCGGCTCCGGCTGCACCGCGGCCCRCGGCTCCGGCACCCGTCGCCCTGCCCCGCTGGGCACGGCCGGCCCCATACCTGTGCTTCGGCTGAGGGTGACAGCAGCAGCGGCACCTCTGTAGGGAGAAGGAGGCCGGGTCAGTGCGGGCACGGTGGCGTCAGACTGCAGGTCACCCCGTGTCCCGCACCAGGGCAGCTGCCCCGGGCCCAGGCGGCCGGCGGCTCCGGCAGCCCCCGGCACCGGCTGCRCGGGACCGAGGAGCGCAGCGAGGCTGTAGGGGCCGGCTGCGAGACGACGGGGTGGCCGCCGTCCCAGCCGCGGGCACTGGGACCGTGGATGCTGGCGGAGCAGGCACAGGATGGGGCCACAGGCAGGTCCAGCTCCGGAGCGGCCGCAGCAGCTGCACGGGTGCGAGCGGCCACGGCTGCGGGCAGCRGCTCCAAGAGCACCAGCACCACGGGCCCGGGCGATGCGGGCACCAGCAGGAGGAAGGAGCTGCGGAGGTGCCACCGCCGGAGCGCTGGGCACACGCAGGGCAATCCCCGCGCACAGACAGGGAGCACCCTGCACATGAGGAGCACCCTGCATGAACCATGGAGCACCCTGCACGTAAGGAGCACCCTGCATGAACCATGGAGCACCCTGCACAGGAGGAGCACCCTGCATGAACCATAGAGAACCCTGCACACAAGGAGCACCCTGCATGAGCCATGGAGCACCCTGCACACGAGGAGCACCCTACATGAACCATAGAGAACCCTGCACACAAGGAGCACCCTGCATGAGCCATGGAGCACCCTGCACAGGAGGAGCACCCTGCATGAGCCATGGAGCACCCTGCACA